CTTAAAAATGAATAGTAACAATTACTGAGGATATACCTCAGTTAAAATGCAATCCTGAATTCAAACTCCTTTTTTTCCCCACCATTTGAAATAATATGGATGAAGCTAGAGAACTTCATGCTAAGTGAAACTATCAAGACACAGAAGAAATACATTATATACTCTGTGTGTGAAATTCCCCAACCCCCCCCAAAAAAAAACCATAAGATGAATGCATACAAAAACAATGGCTTGTATTAAAGGAGTATAGTTAACAGTGCTATATCACATTCTGAGAAACCCAAGGACAGTAGAATTTTAGTGCCTTTAATACAGAATGAAGTAATTATATGAGATGATGAATTTTATTAACATGTCAAGTATGCATATTAGTGGGATTCAGTGCAATATTTTCATATATACATTTACAGCTATAATAATATCCATATACCCTTATTCCATCCTTGATGCCCCAGCACCCTCACTAGCTATATTAGTCTATAATTCTATTTTCACAGAATGTTATTTTAGTTATCATGTATAAGAGAAGTAATAGTTTTCTGATCTTTCTTCACTTAGCATCACAGCATCCAATTCCATCTTTTTTTCCTGTCGGATTTTTTTATTTTTATCCATGTCTGGGTAATAATTCATTAGGAATATATAATACACTTTCTGACGATCAATCTCTCTCTCTCTCTCTCTCTCTCTCTCTCAAAATTTCTACCCCCTCCAAAAAGAAAAGAAAAGAAAAAGAAAAAGAAACCACAGCAACAATATAAGAAACTGCTCTTTGGCCTAATTTTATCAGACTGAAAAGAAGCAATTTAAAGGATTTTTAAAAAGTATTTTTTTACTTTAAATTTATTAGTAAACAAGATATCAATATGATAATTCTCTTTGTACCTGACACACACAAAACTAATTTTGGAGTGTTCAGTACCTTTTACTACATTACACAGAAATACTACTCTGTTACAAACAATGAAATAAAACAACAGTGTGATAGGGAATGTATGATTCATATACTTTCTACACATGTATATTTTTAGAGTTACAATTATTTGGCTCAATACTCCCAATTTTACATCATCCAAAATTATATCCATTATTGAAACCTTGAGTAATTTGTATGTGTGTGCATGTTTGCATGCACAAGAAACAGAGAAAGACACCAGTGTGATTTCTACAACCAATCAGGCAAGGAGTTCTGCCCATGTTAATCCCCAGATTACCACTGACACACACATTTCTCTTCAAAGATGATACATATTGAGCAGAGTTGGTATGGACTTTAGTGGTAGAACAGAGGTGATGTGAAAAGAGCATAATGTTTGTAGGTATGTGGATGATGTCTGAGAGTTAAGATATTTGACCATGATCCTCTTTTTAAAAATGTATCCACTGCATTGGTTACATTCTTATGTGTCTTCTACAATTCTACAATTAATCCTCAGGGACTCTATTTTTCATACCCTGGTAGTTTAGCACTGATTTTTTAGAGTTCTCCTTCTTATACTTTGAAATACCTTGTTGCCCTTTCTCACAGCCCTTGTACCTATGTCTCTTTCAAACAATACTGTAATATCTGGGGAAACTTTAAATGCTGAATAATTGGCAGGTGAATTAATAGTTGGTGTTCTACTTCCTAAGATGTAGACAGCCATATCCTCTCTCTGTGAATTCTATCTTCTCCCACAAAAATAGGAAAAGTACTACACATTTGCAACCCTAAATTTCATCCTGATCCAACAGTAATATTTTGAAAGTCAAGAATGCAAACTCTGCTAGGGTTTGTGGCACACATATGTAATC